TTAGTTCTATAACTACATCAGGACTTCTAGATACATGAAGAGTAAATCGAGTTGCCTTTTTATTTTGACATGGTTAGGTCAAATGAATGAAGCCTCTCGGATCCTGTATTCGCTTTTTGGAGACACAGCACATATCGATTGCGTGAGATTCTGGGGTTCTAGCTAAGGGAGCCTGTTGTCCTATTTGACGCAAGGTCTGGATACCAAAAGTCTCAACATTTAGTTTAGCACGGGGTTTCAGATGATCAAGAATAACGTTTCATGGTCTCAGACCGTTTGCTTCAGCGGCGCGAGGTGACGAATGATCAAGTGAAGGGTTGAACGTGGGGATGAAAGAGTTATAAAGAGGTGTGGAAAAAATTTGATTCTGAGCTAAGTGAGGACCTCCTGACTCCCAGAACAGAGTTCCAATGGTTCGAATTATTCTATCATGTTAGCGTTTTTTAGCGAGTTGGTTTTCTACGGAGTGGATTAGTCAACCCCAAGCAAAACCCTGCTCCTTTATCCGATCTTGGGACTGGCGGCAGCCCTAGAAGGGATTCAGGCGGAGTTTCTCTACAATTTTAGTGGAGGGGAGTGCTACACTGTGACCAGCATTCATGGTCCGATAACCTCAATCTACCCATGTGTGTGGGGCTTGACAATTTTTTTGCTTTCGGCTCCTTACGATATAGTAGGATGTAACTAATCAATGTCATTGATGTAACCTTTCTTTGTGAACCACGTCTACGACTGAAGATTATGACCTAGCATTCGTTTCAATTCCTGCCAAGAAATCCATTTACAAGCAGATCTAGAAAGTAATTGTGGAAAAGGGCTCACTCGTGACTCCTTTAGTTACAGCGTTAAAATGAGAAAGAATAAATAACATATCACAAAAGCACCAGATCAATGTGCTTCATTGTTGTATTCTTTAAATCAAAATTATTTCTAGCCTGTAAATTTATCAAACAGTTCTTGGCATATTTACCTCATTAACTCTTGTTATATGCACACCTGGCTCTACCTTGCATTATTTCACGGTCATTAAGAAGCTCGTCGTAACGGAACCGTCGTAACTCACGCCAGTTATTCGCGTTGTACATTGTAGAGTCTGCAAAATTATCTTTAATTTTATGTGAAAACTTTTAGCCATCTAAATGGACCCGATGTGTCCGGTGAAATACTTCACTGAATGTACACCGTTTTAGAAGAAATATGTTACCGATCTTAACATTTTGATCTTGTCTGTAAATTGGCATGCCTCTTGTAACATATTTGTAATTTGAGAATAAATTATTATTATTATTATTATTATTATGTCACCACTTTCTTATTTCACTCCGCTTAGCTCGAGACGTCATACTTCTAGTGGGTTAATATGTGGTCCTGTAAGTGTGATCCAGAGCCCGTCCGTAACTAGTTGCTTATTTCGCATACTTCACCAGAGCGCATGTGATAAACATATCATCTGGTTTGGAAAGACTTTTCTGACAATTTAGTCCGTGAGATTTCATAGCCCACTGTCAGGTCAATAAAGTTTCCATAGGATTAAACATCTAACACTCAAAGACCAAGTATTGAGCTTCTCTATTAAGAACTAATTCACTCAACAGTTTGGGTTGCCGCAAACTTGAGCAGTCAACAGCTCGTGTATCATTAATTTCAAGAGGCAGCGAAATAGCTCACATACCTCAGTTTCGAGGAATAGGTCATCGATAACGATAAAATAGAGCATAAGCTTATTGAGTGAAGACTTTCTTACTTCTTACGTTCCTGATTTCTCTTAGCACTGTTGAATACAAAGTTTTGGTCATGCAGTTCTCCAGAGTTTAGAGACTGCGTCAAGAAGTTGGGCGTGTCGACCGCTTCTCTTCTTTCATTAGTGCTGATGACCTGGCGACTAACGGAATCCTGATACGCATATATAAGGCTCGATTGACTTTTATAAACCTGCGTCACTTATGGCGTACGCGAGACATCCGTTACCTAACCGAAGGACTAGTCTACTGCGCAGCAGTTGCGTATGCCCAACCACCGACTGTCTCGTCGTGCGATGTTTTGTGGTGTAGGAGTAGGTTAGAAGAAATCTGGGGGCGACCAAAAGAAAACACGTCACAAATCCATGAGGTCACTGAAAAATGGATTGAGTCATGTTGGCAGATGTAGACTACCTGTTTGCGGATTGCGAGACGATAGTAATCGATGGTTAGAGATCTTGAATGAAATGACTGAAAACCGTTTGCAATGGCGCAGGCATATTCATTATTTGTGTTCTGTCAAATCCTAAACGTCTGAATTCATCACCTTTATCCTTTTCTTTTTGAGTTTGTTTCGCTAGATTCTACTTCTTGAATGATATTTTTGAACTCTAATCTCTCCGATTACATGTAATACTTCTACTACCTCTACTACTGTGTGATTTGAATTGACAGTTGCGTCTCTGTGCTAATGTGGTATGGCAACTTGAACTGATGTAAGTACGTACGAATTTCTACGTTGTAACTGACTGAAATACTCATAGACTGCGTCAGATAAGTATCTGTGTCGACAATCTTACCTGACTTGCTAGACTCTACTGGCACATTTGGTTTTTAGTTGCTTTTGAGTTCTGGAGTAGGCCCCAAGCATTTGTGTTACAGACCTGCAGAACATTTACCTAAATGTATGTTGTACCCAAAGGAGCTAGAGCATCGTTCTCTGTTAAAGCTTTACTGATAAATTTGATTGTGTTTTTTCAGCAAGTAACCATATTTTGTGGTGCTTTTTCAACTTTTTGTCTTTTTATGTAGTCAGCGGGAAAAAAGTCATTCCATCTAAAACTCCTTATCCCCTTTAGTTTACGTTCATTCTGTAGTGTGCAATTCCTTTGGGAGATTCAGAGACTAAAATCACGAAGACAAAAACTGATGAGCAAAATAGAAGTTATCCGTTAACTGTTAATTCCAAACGTGCAGAACACAGTAATAAATCTATAGACTGTTTGGATCGTTCCTAGAAGCCAACAGATAATTACAAGAAGCCGGTGAGATCACGTCTATTTACATTCTGATAGGGTTTGTAGAATAATAACGCGCCATATGATGATTAAACAACGGTTTAACATCCTTGCTGTAGTCCATCCTCTTTGTTGTACGGTCAGTGACCTTGAATGATCAATCATATCTGGTTTCGTTGTTATGGTAGTTATTGGTCGTTCTTTAGAAGGATATTAATTAGGAAAGAATGGAAGATAGACTTATGCAAAATGTGGAACAAATATAGTTTTAGATGAAACTCAAAACTTATATTGTATTTCAGACTTTGATTCGTTTAACTGTAGGAACAAATATATTTTTGTAGTGTCTATCCATTTCCGTCCTGTTTCCGGGTTAACACACCTGGTTTGTGTTGAAATCCGGTTTGTAGAGAACTATTTACTCTGTGATCATTTATTATAAGTGTATCTACGAAAATCACCCGTCCACGTCTACATCAGCAGCTCCAAGTTCAGACTTAACAATCGTTGTTTGCAGATCGAGCGATTACACTGATGTTTCCAGTCTATACGAAAAACTGTCATTGCGCATGGTCACCCTATACATTCCATCATGTTCTGGGCTAACCATCCTTTTTCAGGCTTCTGATTTGTGACCGAATGAAATGGTCCTTTCTCGTTCTAGTTAAAGGTCGTATCCCGCATCAAGTTTACTAGGTAACAGATTTAACAGACTCAGTAACGTGAAGATGCACAACTACCTCTGATAAAAAACAATACTCTTGGTATTAATGGAACTAAATTGGACTGAGCTAGATTAAAAACACTAGTTTTGAGAGGTAATATATTAAAACTATCTATGTAATTGTGAGTGAAAATACTGCTGTAGGTTACAAATGGAGTGCGTAAATTTACAGGTCCGCCAGGCCCATATGTGGATCAGAAATTTTTCCAGAGGTCCATCAGTCACAACTTCAGATGCCTGAATTTTTGTGTTGTTGATTGTGCTATTGCCAGTTTGGATGGAGGATCACATCACCAACATCCACACTTTATTTTCCAGACTTCTAAAGCATATCGTGACTGGTACCGTAGATTTTCCCAGGCTTAATTTTAGTGAGCCTATGAACTATTTTTGAAAAGATGCGGGTACCAGTTTTGTGAAACACTGCAATATGTCAGTCCTTTTCAGACTGTTAGAATTATAACGTGAATAGCCCGGAAGGAAACCAACGAGTATCTTTTTCGTGTGCATACCGGCAGCGACTGCTTCTAGCTGAATAAATCGCCCTCCTACATCTGCAAAAAGGCAAGCACTGAAATTAGTGCAAATGTTTCGTGTTCAGAGACTTCAATATGCAATATGGTGACGACGTCTTCGGATGGCCATTTCAATAGTGGTCCTAAAAGGTTTCCTGTCAGTTACTTATCTTAAACAGTCTAAAAATGTCACGGATATTGAGGAATCGGCAGTGCTTTCGTCCCTCATATCTTTCTAACTAAGAATATCAAAAACTAGTCAAAATAAAAATTAATGGAATAGGGGAAATCCAAGCTATATTTCAAAGACATTTTGGATGTTTAGTAACGAGTAACCTAAGTTTCATGACTGTTGCGAGCTGTGTAGCACGGTATACCCATGGATGATCACGTACGGATGCATGACTGAGTGCCCTCAGCTGTAGTAAATCAAGAGAATCTATTAAGGTCACTGTGGAACACTTACAGAACACTTTAATTTATGCATTTGTTAACCCAAACAAGTTCTTTTTGTTTTTCGGGTCCTGAAAGAATAAATCGATGATTGCTGAACTTTCTTAAATAGATAAAAATACTGATCACGATTTCTGCACAGTAATTTTGCGAAAAATCAATAATATTGTGTTCGTAATTTACCATTTGTGACCATTTCTATATGTTCGCGTTATCTAAGTGGATTTATTTCCGGGGGAATGTCAACTTCAAGGAAGTTTGTTCATCTATTAAGGCTGTTAGTCGCCCCGATTCATATTGGAACCTTAATGCCTATTTTATTGTGCCGGTAATACGAAAGTCCTGAAAGCCCGCAAATGTCAAACATACGCCTGGGGGATTTTTTAAGAGGTTAGTTTTAGAAACTGTATCATGATTTATAAGTTATTGTTTTATTTTGCCATTCCTATCAAAGTTCTGTTCCGTTACAGGCACAAATGGATCCTAGAAAAGAAGAAACCGTCGGAGATAAAATAAAGAAATTATTTAGTGCCAAAGACCATCCTAAAGAAAAGCAGAAAGATAAATATGGTAAAGATTCAAGGCGCAGCGAATCACCACCATCATCTTCAAATATGAGTAATATAAGCGATGACGAAATTGAACGGAAGTTCTTGCAAATGTTAGAGGATATGAATTTATCGAAGGACCAAACTATATCTTTGAGAGAAAAACCAATAAAAACAAAGCTTGAAATGCTTGAAACATATGGTAAAAATCTTGGGTCTGCGAAAAATGCCCCGGATTATTGTGCTAGGTTCTTGTTAGTTCCACAAAACTATTCGCCAAAGCAGTTGCTGAACGCATTGGAAAATCTTCGTGTAAACTTGTCGAATAATGGTGTGAGTTGGGTTCGAGAATTTAACAGTACATCTAACAATGGTCTGAATAATTTGTTACACTTTCTGGCGCTTACTCTGACGAATTATTACCCAGGTTGTGCACTACCCTGTTTACGTTGTATCCGTGCGCTTGGGAATTGCGGTTATGGTTTATATGCCCTGGTAGACCATGAAAGTGCAACTACATTTATCGCTAAATGTCTGGACAGTGATCAGTTACCTTTGGTGGATTGTGCCATAGAGCTCTTATCTAGTATCGCGCTATGCAATGCTAAAGGTTACAAGAACGTTCTGGAGGGATTAACATTTAGTGAAGAACCTAATGGGGCAGCAGGTGAACGCTTCATGCCCTTAGTTAAAGCCTTAGATTGTCCTGAAGTCTCGCGGGCCTCGTTGCAGTTCATTAATGTTCTAGTTAACCGCAGTTGTCTTGATGAAAGCTCTTTCGATGTTGACTACAGAGTCCACCTACGGTGTGAGTTTAGCAGTTTAGGAATTATTGATAAGCTTAATAAACTCGAAAAGTCATTGGACTCTGACATCCAAAATCACGTGACAATCTATCGTTCTAGAGCTGATCAAGACTTGGATGATGTTTTTGAGCGACTAGATTCAGTTAAATGTGATTTAGATGATGCTAACCAGATTTTCCACATTCTACATCGTACCATTATGGGAACAAAGTCAGAGAAGCATTTTTTGTCAATACTGCAGCATTTTCTTTTTATCCGTGATGAGCCTTATAGATTGGCTTACTTTACTCTTCTGGAAGAACTAATTGGTCAAGTTTTGATTCAAAACGATGGCGTTGATCCTGATCCTCACATGAACATTCTGCGCTTGGACGTTGAAAGTACTGTAGCATTGCTGGTAGATGCACTAAAGGAAGCCGATGCCTCAACTCGCGTTGAGGAGCTCCAGGCTAAGTTAGATACTGCCCTTCAAGCTAAATTAGAAGCAGAAGCCAAAGTACAGACATTACAAAGTCAATCAGGTTCGGCAGATGGGTCTACAATGAAGCCTCCTGGACTAAATGCAAGCATACCACCACCCCCAGGTGTTCCTCCACCACCACCCCCACCTATGGGAGGTGTTCCACCACCACCACCACCACCCCCACCTATGGGAGGTGTTCCACCACCGCCACCCCCACCACCTTTAGGTGGCGTTCCTCCACCACCGCCGGGTATCCAGCCACCTAAACCTCCTTCAAACGAACTCCCTTTCGGAATGAAACCAAAAAAGAAATACACTCTGGATGTTCCTATGAAAAAGGCTAATTGGGAAAAAATTAAGCCTAATATGCTTGATAAAACCTCTGTCTGGGTTCAGCTTCGTGAAGAAGAGCTTGAGTGTTTTGATTTGTTGAAAAATCTTAGAGCTCAATTTAGTACAAAGCCAGCTAAAGTGATGGTGTCTGATTCCACATCAGATGGTATGGCTGCAGGCGGAAATCTACAAGGTATTCAGTCTCGTAAAACAAAAAAGCTAAGGTATTTGGACGATAAAGTGGCTCAAAACTTGTCAATTCTTCTGGGTTCACTTAAAGTACCGTATGATGAACTTCGTCGGCGTATTCTAACTGTAGATGAAAGTCTGTTAACTCCGAATATGTTAGAGCAGCTGGTTAAAGCACTACCCGAACCATCAGTCATTTCAAAGATAAGTTCACTTGCAGATGAGTATGAGACACTAGCGGAACCTGAACAATTCGTGTGCAAAGTTGGTGATATCAAGAAACTCATACCTAGACTAAATTCGATTCTGTTTAAGATGAGATTTAGTGAAAAACTAAATGAAGTAAAGCCTGAGATAGTTGATGTAGACGAGGCGTTGGAGGAGATACATTCCAGCAAACATTTCAGACGTATCTTGGAGTTGGTTCTCCTGTTAGGCAATTATATGAATGCGGGTTCCAATAACTCAGAAGCAGTTGGATTTGAAATTAGTTTTCTAACCAAGTTAGAGGCAACAAAGGATGTCTCCAATTCTCAAACGTTACTTCACTTCTTGATTGATTCTCTTGATCAAAAATTCCCAGAAACTGTTAAGGGATTTCTGGATGATTTCTCGCATGTTGAACGAGCTTGTCGTGTTTCCGAGGATTGTCTAAAAGCCAACATTGCGGAGATGAAGAAGTCCGTTTCCAATATTGATACAGACCTACAGACATACAAAGCTCAAGATCCTAACGACAATTACATTTCTGTTATGCAGGATTTCGTTGTATTTGCTAAAGAACAGATGTCACAGTTAGAAATGATGCATAAACGGATGCAGGGTAAATTTCTGACGGTTTCTAAGTACTTAGCATTTGAGCCTAACAAATACCATATGGAAAACTTATTTTCTGATTTGAAAGACTTCCACGTTGCCTTTAAACGTTCTGCTTCTGATCTGGCTAAAAAGCGTGCGTTGGAAGAGAAAATGAAAAAGGCACGAGAGGAGCAAGCACGCCGTCTGCGTGAACGTGAGGATAAGGCTCTTTTGAATAATTCAGGACCCAGAGCACCTACTGAGGAAGAAGGGAACGTCATTGATAATTTGATGGAAGCCCTAAAGTCTGGTGCTGCTTTCGCCAATGGAGGTGAAAGGTCAGCCGCCAGGCGTAATCGAAAGAATGCAAACCCAGCCGCTGCTAATCTCGCATCAGTTGTCTCACCATCAGCACTTCGACAAAGGCAGTTAATGCGTGCCAGATCTCGTAACTATGGTGACTTACCTCGTTCAGTTGTCGATGTAGCATGAAGCACTTGATTTTCTTTATGCCTTTTAAGAGTTTATATAAAAAGCGCCTCAAACCTTACCCTAAAGAACTTTTTTAAAGTGTTTTATAAATAATTTGCAACCTTTCAGATTCAAGCATATGTTGTATTTTCATTTTTATTATTTGTACAGTCTCTTCATAAATTTCATCCATAAACTTATGTAAATTTTTCACGTAAACTTGTACATTTTCGATTTCGTGTAGTATATAATTTTTTCTGAGTCACGTATTATTGATAATGAGTTATTAACTTACATAAGCGTCAGTACTATTCCCTGTGGAAGAAAGGAGTCGAAATAATTAGTACCCTTTTTTGTTAGGTTTATTAAACTAAAGAAACCCTGTCCAGTTTGCAGACGTAATTAACTGAGTGTCAACAGCAGATAATAAGGGAAGTGTATTTACATTAAGTTGTAGTAAGTGTTAACAGAATTTACAAACCATTTTGTGTATTCCAAGCCTGCGGCTTAAAGTGTAATTGTACAGAATACAATGAATTCAAACCGGTTGATATGTTCGTTCCTCAGAAATATAGTTTGGATCATCCTATTTCACAGTAAATTATGCTTGGCACCATGCCTTCAGATTAGGTGGGTGCAATATTGCACTCCTTTAGCATCCCAGTACACTCATCCATAGGCAACCTAGGACTTAGTGAAAATGACTGCAATCGTAAAATTTAGTTAGTTTTGGCCTACTTACAGCTAAATTTCTCATGATTGCGAATCTCAATGAATATGGTTATCATATCTCACTTCAGGAAGTATACATCAAGCATTTAAATTCTATCGATCTCACCCTACTTTGGGAGCAACATCCACAGAAAGTTCGTGATATACAAATATCTAAGGCTGTTCAAACCAAGACTCTAGGGAAATGATTACTGTCAGTGCTAATATTTGGTCACGTGAATTGTTCTCGATGCAACAAGTTGAGACCTGGGACAACCGAGTGAGCAATGCTGTTGTTAGGAAACGAGTACTAGGTAGGGATGGCAAATCAGTAGACGAAGTAGTGAAACTTCATCAGTTGAGGTGGTTCGGACATGTGTTACATATGCCTACTCACCGACTTCCTCGACGAGCAATGTTTTGTGGTGTAGGAGTAGGTTAGAAGAAATCTGGGGGCGACCAAAAGAAAACACGTCACAAATCCATGAGGTCACTGAAAAATGGATTGAGTCATGTTGGCAGATGTAGACTACCTGTTTGCGGATTGCGAGACGATAGTAATCGATGGTTAGAGATCTTGAATGAAATGACTGAAAACCGTTTGCAATGGCGCAGGCATATTCATTATTTGTGTTCTGTCAAATCCTAAACGTCTGAATTCATCACCTTTATCCTTTTCTTTTTGAGTTTGTTTCGCTAGATTCTACTTCTTGAATGATATTTTTGAACTCTAATCTCTCCGATTACATGTAATACTTCTACTACCTCTACTACTGTGTGATTTGAATTGACAGTTGCGTCTCTGTGCTAATGTGGTATGGCAACTTGAACTGATGTAAGTACGTACGAATTTCTACGTTGTAACTGACTGATTAAGCACATTTATCTTGATACCAAATGTTTCTGAGTGAACAATCTAGGCTTTTTTATATAATACCTCATTGAACTTATGTTTCATTTTATACTTTATTGAAGGTTGGTGTTGGAAGATGTAAGCATTATTTGAAATAGACAAACCTTATAAAACTACTCAGCAAATTGACTTGATTTAAAATTTATGTGTAATGATTTGACTTGCCTCACAATGATCAGATTTGTAAGTCGTATGATACTTTACTATCTTTGGAAGGTCGATTGAACGACTAAAGTTGTTAACACTAAGATGAATAGTCGTACTGCAGCTGGTGTTCTGCAATAAAAGTATATCAATGATCGAATTGTTACTTAATGTATGGTGTGCAGCAAATATTTACAGTATTAGCTTTTCCATTCTATGAAAAGTCAGTGGAAATAAATTTGTGCCCAAACATTCACATTCTGCTTTGCTCTCCTAGATGTTTTTCATTAACAGTGAGTATGGGTAATGTTCTGTGAAAGCTACTACTTCTTAAAGGATTGTGAAACTAGACTTGAGTAGATTCCCCTAAAGAATAGATGTTTTATCTTGGTTACTCCATGACATCAATTCACGTTTCAGGCCTGTATTAAATTTACCATTCATGCGCACTTCCAACTGTAAAGTACACCTTTCCAAACTACTCTCTCCATTTTGATTTATTATTTTCGCTATTGTTAATCTTTTGATCCTATACTCATTAACTTCTAATCTTCAACTCCTAGGAATAACTAAGCTTACTAAATAACGTTGTTAATCTTCTGGGATAGTACTCTAAATTAGTTCTTTCAAATAAGACAACACATCGGTGGTCAGAGATTAAAGTACTTACCACAATTCACAGGCAATGTAATGAATAGTGGAGTGTTTTCACTTCAATTGACACCAATTACTGTTGACGTTAGTTGATCAGCATTCGCTCTCCTTCAACTTCATCATTAATTATACTGAAGGAAACAACTATGTTTTTCAATCAATCCTAACCAATGGAGGAAAGAAATCAATCTGTGAAAAATTTTAAGGCCCATACCTCTGACTAAATTCACATAAGGTAAAGACTTCAAGCATTCATCTTCCTAGAGAAATTTTAGTAAACATAAAGTATAGGAGTGATAGAATTCAGATTATTTTAAATAGCCCATGTTAGTCCAGTACATTCTTCGCACCTAGAAAATCTAAGTTAACGCATTAAGACTCGTTGCCAAAACTAAGAAATCCAATTGCTTCGTTAGCTATTTATGAAAGCCCTGATAAATGTGGAAATATCAGCGGGAGTATAATATCTACTATCATTATTCTCCTTCCACTGTCTTAGGTATCTATATGCGTCCTACTAATTTGATACATTGCATGGAAGGCGACTTTGCATTGCTCTGTGGTATTAGGAAATCATCAGGGGATCTAAACGACTCAAGACTAGTTATAATATATTACAAGTACCGATCTATAAACCCACTGAATCATTGATGTTTAAATTATAGGTAGCTAGACACGACCGTGAAACTAATGAGCAACATAGCTGAAACATGTCACTTATATTGAGTTGTTACCTTCTCTGATTTGGTCAATGAAGTCGCGAAGAAAATGGGGCTCCCAAAAAGAGTAGTTGTCATTACATCAGCTGATAGTTAACGACTCATTACTCCTTTGTCATTGCTGTCAGTTATTCATAATCAACGTAAGGCTTGGCACTAACTCAAGTTACTACTAAATGGAATTAACAAGATGAATGCAAAAAGAATCGAGATAATATAGTGGCAATGATATTAATCGACTGAACATTCATTTTATAGTGCAAAAGACAGAACATCACCGTTGTCATTAACAGCTATTTGATAGGATTCGCAGGTCTTTGTTAACTAATGTACGTTCTATCTAGTTTTTTTTACCAATAAAGAAACCAGTTTCGGTAAGATTGTGTCACATCTCATTACATTATCAAGTAACTAAATAAATATATTTTATTAAACCGCAGCTAATGAGGTTTAGTTATGCTTCTATTCAGCTGTATGCACTGAGTCTAAACCTGTAACCCAGTTGTCAAAAGTCAAGTGTATGCAATTATCGCTACGTCTTTTTAGTAAACTGAAAGGTCAGAATGCAGGGTAACTTGAAGTAATGTCGCTGAGAAGTTAGACAATGACACTTATGTGATCCTCCACAAGTAACATGTCACTGCTAAAGGAAGTATCTTATACTGGGGAGATGGTACATATTAAGATATCTTCCAATCTATTTTAATTTGAGTTTCTGAGTAGTACCACTGACTTCCACATAATCAGAGTTTGGCTGAAAACCGAATGCACGAACTTGCCCTTGGTAAGTGTCGAAAAACGCGCAACCCAAAGTTATTGTCGTCCATTTATCACCATAATATTTTGTTTCAGAATTATAAAGGAACTCAATTTATGTATTTTTATCTCATTCCTTTAACTAATACCTGTTTAAACTCTCTAGAGCTTTTACTCGTTACTTGATTGCGCAAAGGATTTTGTGAAGGTTATTAGCTAGATCATAAATAGTGAATATAATATCTAAGTTAGTTTTAGGCTTTGATATACGGGATCCAACGGATCTGTATTTGTTATTGCTTTCTAACCAGCTGTTATATATTTAAAAAATACAGAGCTGAACTTGCTTAAGTACAAACTACAGATCATGATTCTGCAATGTATGACCAATATATGTACGTATGTATGTACTGGGTATTTTTTGCATTTATTATCTATTAGATTTGTGGTATTCTTATTATTTTGAATATTTTGTTCTCTAATAATAATCTATTATCGTTTCTGATTTCCAAGTTTTAATCTACACTTTTTAAACTTGTTCCTAACTTATGAAAAGCAAGTGGATAGGTAGTGTCGTCGCTATGCTAGTGCAAATGTTATATTATACTCATTCTTGCGATAATTTAATAGTTCGGAACAATTTCTTTAATGATCCTCGAGTTTATAATTATTTTGTCTTTATGTAAGTTGAATAGTTTTTGCGGAACTTAGCCGATTAATTATCTCATACTACTAACACATTGGGGCAGGGTCTTGTCAAAGACTATTTTAAACTGTAGTTGGACAACTATTTTCAGGAAACGTTAATTTAACAATGCTCACTCTTATAGTATCGGGGTGACTCACGGATTAAAGCGTCCGATCTAAGCTACTAAGTCCGAGGCTTAAGCCCCGCTTCACTTCGGTTTGGGCGACCGGGTATTATTGACAACTCTAATACCTAAAGCATTGCTAATAACCAAGTATACGTTGGGTTAATCATTTCAAGGTGTATTAAAAAGGTGAGTCTAAGTGCGTTAAAAAGTAGATCGTTCGACTTGCATAAATGATTATTTGAACAAGATTTCTCGTGGAATGCTCTCTGCTGTGTTTATTCGTAGCAACCTTTCTGTCCTTTAGTATCGACTAGTATTTGGATAGATTTCATGGTTCTAGCTTACAAAAAATTAACTGTATTTGCTTTGGCCTAGTTTTCTGTTTCTAATTTAATGAATAAATTTTTAAAATGTTTTCAGTCTTACTTTTATTATCGTGTCTGTGTGTTGTGTGTTAGGTGCTTGTAGTGATTTATCTTATTCGATGGTTTTCAGATAATCTTTTATACCCAAAAGGACCAGGATTAGGTGCAGCCCAACTTTTAAACAATACACAATCAACTTTACATACTGGTACTTTGTCAACGATCGACTCCTGGGAATGGAATGCCTATTCACTATTCATGTCATTAGTTTCTGATAGTCGTCCAGAATTTCGTGAAAATATACTCAGAGATTCCATGTTGCATTTACCCATCCCAATAAAAATGTCTTCTACAATGGCGGTCGGTTCTGATGGTATGAAAAATCAAGGGGAAACTGACGTTCAGCATTTGGGAAGACTGAATAATGAGAGTGAGAGTCGCTATACAATAAAACGTCCTTTCAAGCCATTATTTTATACGGATTCAAGGTTGGTTAATTTTTGTGGTTGTCTTTCATGCTTTTACAACATACAATGAGTATAAGTATACTATTTATACCTTCGTAAACTATAAATTGTATTACTGTGTTCTGTTTATTTATTACTTTCTTCATGATTGCCTGGACTTTATGCCTACAATTAATTTTGAGGATGAATCTTTATAAGTAGTTAAAAAACTAGCTTCAATGGTTAGCTGAGTGGATGATAGTTACGGTGTGGCAGACAATATCACTCTACATACAACAACTGCTTATTATTAGTCGGAATCGATTTTCTCACGATAGTGACGTTAGTTTAATGATGAAAGTATGGGGTGCACAACTACGCATCAATAACACATATACTGTTTAATTGTATGAAATCAATTCTCATTCAGTTATATCATTGTGGAAATAGTACCGAGACTCAGTGACATGTTTGTGAATCATGAAAATTATTCGACAAATGGTGGCAACTCCAGAAACTGGTTTCACTAGTCTAGACACATTTTACACTCCCGTACTAATATCTAATTAGTGAAATTTGTTAGAAGTCAGATTGACGGTAAACAACGTAGAACCTCACACAGATGTGTGTGCATCAGCATTAGGACTGAAGGTTAAAAACAGTGTTTTTAGCCTATTACATGAATATTTGGATTAAACAATAGTTATATTGAGTTAGCATTTATCTATTTATCACAATTCTTTCGACAGAATTATTAGAGATTGTGTGTTCCATTGTCGATAGATGTTATCAGACAATTCAAAATTGAAATCAGTGACCATTCTACCCTTATTTTTTGTTGTACACTTCATGAAAATAAAATCTAGCCTAGTTGTGTGTATGATTTTTAATACTTCTTAATTTTTTCTTTAATATTAGTTTTCATAATACCTGTCATTTCACATTTTGTTCGATGAATTTGTCAATAGATATCGGGGTTTTTATTTGTTTTCTTCTTTGTATTGATAAAATGATCTTGCAAAAAAAAAAAGAAATGAAAAGTCAGAAAATCAAAAAAAAAGATAGTTGAAAATGTATTTCAGTGAGTTTTAACTATCGTGATGTATATATAGGTTTCAACTCCTTTTATTATAAGCATCTGGACAGAGTGGTTAGTTGTCCATGGAATAACATTTCTGTAGGGCCCCTTAAAAAAGTTGGTTTCATTACTAATACTACAAAGTAGCTAATATTTACCAAATTACTTATCAAGTACAATTCATGTAATCGAACTTGAGCCAGCCAATATTGTATGAGGGAAAGTGATGCTACTTATCTACTTGTCAAAACCGAAATAAGTGAGTTGGTGTTCAAACTTGTTATCTAGTGGTTGAAAGTCAAATGACAGAATCACTAAGTCACGGTTAATTGTTAAATGGGACTTAAGTATAAGTAGACAAAATAATAACTATTGATGACTCTTATCTTACACCATAATTTTATATAACAAAGAGAGAATATTTTTAGTGATTATTCAGTAACATTCTATCATTCGATCAAATTTATTTTATTCATTAATGACTATTTTGTATAATTACATTTTAATAATGCGGTAGTTCGTGTAGGTATTTTAAAAAGTTTACTAGAATTCGTTAGCAAGTTAATTATTTATTGGCTATGAATATTAAGCACTTTGTTATTGATTTTTTATCTTATCTCAACCAATGCACGCGTAAACGTTTGCAAGAGCTAAATTAAGCAACTTGAAATCTTTGTAATTTTACCAAAAATACAAAACAAAATATTTCATCTCATTTGACTTCAATTATCGACCAACCTATTTGAACGTGCAACTAACACAAATTAATCAATAAAAAAATGCATGTTTCATGCAGTTCACTTCGTATTTCGTTCATTATCAATATTTTTGTGATGATTATTAAATGGTCAATGAGAGGTGTGGAGAAAAAAGGTTAACTGTCTGGCATCTTGTTTCATTTATGCCTTAGTTTTATTACGTATCCGATCAATTGTAGTGTTTCAGATTCCATTACTCAATGGTATAGAGTGATTTGTTACCGAAATTACTTCAATATTTTTTTACAATTTACAGAAATAGACAATGCAGTATATTTTTGAAATCCTTTTAAAATAAGTCATAGAAAAGTGAGACAGTCAATTATAGAAACAGTCTTCCATAATGATATCGAATCAATGTGCATGTATGTCGCTGCAACAGATTTAAAACTTATTTTCAATAAATCATGTTTGATAACAGTTATCAATTCAAGAAGTTGTTTCTAATGTAAATCCTTCAGTTAGTTACGTAATATTTCATCGTTAGTTTATTCAAGAAATTATTTGCAAAGTTAGTTCCTATCTACGTTGACATTTTAATCAGATGAGAAGTATGAGATGAATTTAATTAATGTGGCACTTGACCGCCTATCGACATGCAATTATGGTTAGAGTAATATGAACAAAAATCCAAACATCAAATAACAAACTAGTATGTTCTATGTAGGTGACCGGGTTATATGAAAGTCAAGATCACTGAGATGACAGAAATCGGTATTGAATGTTGAAAAAAAAGTGACTGTCAGTTGTCCAATATGCTGTTAGTGCTTTTTCTTTGTTTAAAATTAAATCTTTATATTTCCATATTGACTGTTTATTTTAAGAAAATTATCTGAAGACTTATAAGTTCAATCGATACTCGATTGTATTTAGATTATTGTGCTGTTTGTACTAGTCAAAATTCCAAATTATATTATGAATACTACTATGCTTTATGAAAGTCAATCGGTTAACAATGAAATTCTTTTTATATTTTACTTTTAGTAGTAACTTTTGATTTTTGATTGATCACTGATTGATGTTTATATTTTAGTGTATGCAACACTGATCTAATATGCATGTGCATTTATTCTACTACGTAAATGTATGTCTTTTCTGTTGAGGTATCGTTAATTTAATGTATGACTGACTGTATAACATCTTATCGAGTTGTTTTTGACACTAGTTTAGTTATCCTCTGTGACTATCAACAATAGATAGTCATTACTTTATAGGAATATAACTAATTTTCTTACTATCTTAATCATCATTATCATTATTATGAAATTTGTTTCACCTTATTAATGGCGCATATGTTGTCCATTTATCATTATTTTACTTTAGTCTTTATTGTACTTCAATGCCGTTCACTGATGCAATAGAATTTGGTAGTCCAGGTGATGGTTTAATTATACGTCCAACTAAAATTGGTCTGATTGTTTTACATGTAACTGGAAATTATCCTCCAACTTATAGTTTAAATTTATTGGAACGTTGTCTGGGAAATTTCGATTTGTAAAGCAAAATTTTTATTGAAATGATAAAGTTTAATTAGATGTTTTTGTTGTTATTATTTGTTTTAAGCATTAAATGCTTTTATTTGGGATATATATATATATATATATATATACATCTATAAGTATGTATAGCTCTGCATGAGGCAATAAATTCTTTATGTTTTCATTGAAAATCAAATAGATTTTGATTGATAGATTTTTTTAAAACTAGCTATCATGTGAGATGAGTAGAGATTTTATAAAGTCAAGCAATGTGAGTTTTTATGCAGAAATACCTTGGTTTGTCTTTGTAACCAAACATTTACCAAAATGGCGATATGAAAGGAAAAAAAAATGAAAGCTGCTGTAGGATTTTACTGATCTTCACTTCAGATGCAGGTTTCATACAATCTCGAAGAAGTATAGAAGTTCTTATCTTCGTATGCTTTCAAAATATGATCTAGATAATAGATAATGTGTTTATGTCAAATAGTTGACGATAACACTCACCTCTCATGGTTTAAGGTAAACACTAATTCAAGTGTTTATTTTTTCAAATATGTATTAACAAGAACAACATTCAAATGAGTATGCTGATAAAAGCTAAAAGGAAATCTAATTTTTACATTAAAAATCTAACCAAATTTCTAAATAACTGGGTTAGTGTATTTTTCAGTTAATTAGTAGAACCTTACTGTTAACCAGAGATGATATGTACTTTATTCATGAAGTATTTCGATCGGTGCTGTTATCCCGACCGTAGCTGCTACCTTGACTTGGTGGTTGGGCTTACCTATCGTGATGACCCAACCGAGATATATTGACTGGAATATATGTTCCTGAAGGTTCTACCATGTCAGGCAGGTCGATTGGAGAACAATGAGACTAAAAGCAGCTGCTGAAGGCCTGAGGGCGAAGTCTTACTGCTGACTGCAGAGGGGTGTGACAGTAGTAAGGTGTTTCCCTCGGACAACCAGCATCCGTCTCCGGCGGTAAGGCCTTTTAAACAAGAGCAGAGCTAACACTTTCAATGCTATTTATAAAAAGGTCGTGCGTTACCGGCCTCAAGCAGTTGTCCCTTGGGCTCTGCGGTCACGCACCCAGGTCTCCAAGACCAACACTAATCTACAATCCTTTGTAGGTTCGTCAAGAAACACTCTTCCACGGTGTGGGCAGCCGGCAAGTGACAACCAACCTCATACCGGTAACAGCACGTGAGACCGAATCGGTCACCAACAAATCCTTCCTACACCCCCTATTATCTCTCTTATCTCCACGACTAACTCTTCTCACACTCCTTTATCTCAGTGAACCGCTAATGCCAACGATTTGAGTTCACGAAACGTTATTCCTGGTCTCTTGAAACCCCGTTCTAAATTACATGTTGGAGCATTTAATGTCCGGACATTGTGTCAAATAGGGCACCAGACTTCCTTAGCTAGGACTTTAGGACCTCGCGCCATCGATCTATGCTGCGTCTCCAAAACGCTCATACCGAATCCTAGTAAAATCATTGGTTTGATTTCATCTTGTCAAAATAGAGAAGCAGCTTGGTTTACTCGTCGTGTATCTCGAAGCCCTGATGCTGCTTCCCGGGGTCTGGCTGGTGTAGGTATAGCTTTGAGTCGTGGGGCAGAACTATTTCCCCTATAATGGCGCAGGTGCATCTATTCTTTGTGTTCTGTCAAATCCTAACCGTCTGAATTCCTCATTATCTTTATCGTTGTCTTTTTAAGTTTATTTCACTAGATTTTACTTCTTGAATAATATTTTCGAACCCTAATCTCTCCGATTACATGTAATACTTCTACTACCTCTACTACTGTGTGATTTGATTTGACAGTTCCGTGTCTTTGCTAATGTGATATGGAAACGTGAACTGATGTACATACGTACGAATTTCTACGTTGTAACTGAGCGACTAACTGGTGCTGTTATCATCAACTTATCAAATTCCTATCGGTGCTCAATATTAATATTTACCATTTACATCAGCAAGAAACAATTACGAACAGCTGACCTAAATTTCCTCGTTTATGATTACTCGATATCAATTTAAATCTAATTCCACATGAAAATTATAGTAAATTGCAATCATAGTCTCAACTAGTGTAACCTATAAATGGATCATGATATTTACATTAAGTCGTTAATTACACATAACAAATGAGAACAGTATGAGAAATTGTAATAAATATCAATCCAGTTGTGTTGATTTAATGAAGAAAGAATGGATTTTGATGGTTTTGATTGCTCTGAACTGGATTGGTTATTTGAGGAGCTTTCACTATCATCGAGATCAATTTTAAGTTGGAATGAACTTTTACAAGTGTCTTATAGGCCAGTCTGCTAACAAACTGATTTAGTACTTACATCAGTCTGTCAAGCTATGTCTGTTAATGAGTTTTTTCGAAATAAATGTTAATCCGAAGGAAAAAAGAGACCTGTGTTTGCACCATGGGATTGAGCAGAACTGTTCACGTTGAAATGGTAACACGTGGGCAGTCTCCTTGGTTCTGCTGAAAACCGATGTAAAATTACTCTTGACTATAGAGTGTATGTATAATTGTAACTCCGCATGAAGCCCCTCCGGGACTACTACTGGTCCTAAGCCCGAATAAAGGAGGAGGATTGGGCATGTGGTTAGCTAATCCATCCCGTAGAAGACTAACTCGCCAAAAAACACTAACCAGAAGAAATAATTCAAACTATTTAAACTCTGTCTTGGGAGTTAGAAGGTCTTCATTTAAAAGAGTTATGACGTCTTATGACGATAGTCGAGTTGCTTCGGAAGTCTCGAGGCCGATGCCCCTTCTGACAACCTGAAGCACACGAGACCAAGTCGGTCATAGTCAAATTTAAAGTTAGTACTGCTTAGTGAATTAGAAATTCAATAAATTTTTCCACTGAGACATGAAAAATACGAGTTAAATGGAGTAATGTTTCTTTTCAATTGATTTCTCAGCAAGGCTCTTCCCTGATGTATAGGTTTTAAAATAAAGTACAAAATCTACATCAACTAAATTGTAGTGAATCAGTTTAACAATTCACTTTCAATTCATTCAGTAACACCACGTCTGCAAAATCAAAACAAAGGTGGAATGTCCTAATCAGTTTATCAGGTTAGGTTTATCGAAATGTGTTCCAATTGGCTATAAATCGAATATATAAGAGTCAGATTCTAGGAACACTGGATAAGTTTAATGAAATCTTATAGACAAAGCAGAATTTATATCTAGCCAGTAATCAGTTTCATGTTCCAAAATAAAGCTTCACACTGTTTGCTCAATCACAATAGTTTCATTCATATCACTAATGCAACGTAATTCTTCGAAGTAGCTAAAAATTATTCTTAGATTGTATATAGATGTACATATCATCTTCTGATTAGGCATTTCATAGTTTCGAAACTAAAAACCTAGTTTTTACGATCTAATTGCAATTCAACAGTTCAAAAAGTACCAAAACAAAGATGGTTGATTTTAATAAATCGACTATTTTTTGCAGATAATAATAGTAATAATAATGGTATTAATTAATAGCTTTCTATTAGTATCATTGGTTAATTACTTGAAACATCAACATAGTTGTGTTGATAAACCTTCTGATGATATGTTCACAACTTGTGTACTCGACAAATTATAGCAAAGCAATTGACATTTATATCATTGCATGACATAGAAAAGTTAGTAGTACTATATGAATCTCGATAAAAGTTTGTAAAATTATTTTTGAAAATATTCTTATGAAATTGTTTCTTTTCAACCAATGAATGAAAGTTTAAATATTTGATATATTCCTCAGATGAACTCTTAAAGAATTAATTACCTTTAACTACACTATCGTTATTAATAATTATTTCATGGAATATGTAACATTTAAATAGTGAGCATATCTTAGGCTTAGTAATTCAAAGGTGTATAATTAATTCATCATTATGCTGTGACAAATGTCACGTTTATTTAGTCTGTCAATGCTGAAGGAATTCTTTCGATCAAGTCGCAATACAGCCCCTTATCTGTTTGACTCAATACATTATGCATTATGTCGAAATCTTAAGTAGCGGGAGGGGTACTTACAATCTTGATGAAACTGATTTTCTCTACATCATGGATTTTCACCTATTTTTTAACAATTCAGAGACTGATTAAATTTAGTCCATTTGTGATTAAAATTATTTTTTGACTGTCAATCTAATCAAACAGCAATATTCATGATGATCTAGTTAGTAGATTGATCATTTTCAATAAAGATACAACTCGTTGATGATAACTTTTAATTTTACAATCAAATTGACATATCATTTCATTGTAGTCATTATTGATCAATATAGATAGTGAATTATCAATGGCGTAAAAGCACACAACTAGAACATTATCTCATAGTTATCATTCACAAAATTATTCATAAAATTTCTTCTCTCCGTCATTAACTACCATTTTTAGTCTTTCTTATTAGCTTACATATCACTTCATTCAGTGGTTTAAATTTTTATTTCATCCACTAAAATGCGATCATATGACGTAAATTTTATGCACTAAATATATATATATATATATATATATATATATATATATATATATATATGCTTGGTGTATAGTATACTAGTTCAAGTAAATATTCACAGTGTGTTTTGATGTTGGCAATGGTTAATAATTAGCTTATTATTGATAGTTTAACGAAAATATTGATCAGTTGGGGTATAAGAATGCAGAAAATGTGTTGATTCAAACAAGGAATTGATTAAAAAAAAAATCCAAATTATCAATCTCACAATCACAGTTGAAACAGAATATATTATGCATAAATTAAGTAGATAAATCTTTGTAAATCTTTCATAGTTTTGTTTTAATATGTTATACCTTTTATAAGTAGTGAATCTAGTTTATAGGTGAGTGTTTAGGTTGGCCGAGTCTTATACATATTTATTGTTTTGTGTAAATTTTCGATTATTTGAAGGTCAACTTAATCACGAACCGATGATAGATAAAGAAAATTTGAAAGTTAGAGATAGATCATTGGA